GTCGCCTGGGAAAGTTTGGCAATTTGGTCATCGAAGGCTTGGGCCTTCTCATCAAACTCTAGGCCTCGTGTAACTTCAGCTTGGCTCTCTATGTCTGAAACAGTCGAGAGAAGCTCCTCCTTGCGCTTGGTATTAGCATTTATCTTGGCCTCCAGCTCTTTGATTTGCGCCTTTATAGAGGCATTGTCTCGATCTATGGCGTCAATTTCTTCTTGCTTGGATGCCTTCTGCTTCGACAACTCTGCAATTCGAGAAGTCGTTTCAGCTACCTCAGTCCAGGCAGAAGAACTCTTGCCATGTAGCGCTTCGAGCTGGCTGTTGAAGCCCCTCTGACGTCGATAGTCCGCAGAGACTTGGTCAACAATGGAGTATAACTCCAAGATAAAGCTCGAAACCTCTGGAGTCACAACAAGCAAATCGATTGCATTCAAAACAGCTCCCAGACAAGACGGAGCAGTAGGATCCCACTCCAAAGCCTTCATCAGATCTTTCTTGAAGAACTGAGCCTTGACCTTCATCAAAGCCTCATCAAGAGGAGAAGTCGAAGTGGACTTCCCCGATGCAGTAGAAGCATCATGACTAAGGTCAGATGAACTTCCCCTACTCTCGATGATGGCATTCAGGTAGCCAATGGGATCAGTTTGCTTCAAGAGTGCCAAGTCTTCTTTAGACTTAGGCTTTGTCGAGGTGGTAACCCTTACAGCAGCGTTGGCTTGGGGTTGAAGTTGTTGAGTAGCATTTTCATCGACATGACTCTCTTCGACATGTAGTTCTGTAGTGCCAGCATCAACATGATCCCCTTCGCCATGTTGCTCCTCTGATAGATCGACCACTTGAGTTTCCTTTGGTTGTTGTTCCTCTGCTTCGGCAATGGCTTCATCGTTTGCCAATTCCTCCTCTTGTTGCCTACTGTGTTCAGCAGAGTCTTGTGTCTCTAAAGTCTTTTGTGCCGAACTTTCGGTGGTCTCCTGAAAATAGAAGAGGAAGAATCTTCTGGTTTAGAAAGAGACACAATCGAATGTGAGCATCGACACCTGAGTTAAAAATGGTCAGAGAAACTACCTGTAGAGGAATTTCAGCCCCAGGGCTGGAATTATCACTTTCGACGGATTTATTGAGCAAAACGTTTAGCTCCTCCTCCGTGGGCTCTTCGATGATCACGGGAGGTGGCCTGGGTCTTCTCCCTGCAACCTTTATTCTGATCGTGGGTCGAGGCTCAGAAGAAGGAGCATCTTTCTTCACTTTTCTCCGTTTAAGAGGAGCGGGGGGAGATTCGTCCTCGTCGTCACTCCCAGATTCGACCGTTAGTGCAGGTCGTTTCTTGGGTGCAGGTTCCTGAAAACCAATTGGAGTTCGATTTAGAACGCCACATCGAAAATCAGGATGTTAAAACCAGAAGGAAATAATAAAAGTTTGGTTACCGATGCTGAAGGTTTTGTCGAGGGACCTCCTCCCTGATGGCTTTCTGTGGTTTTAGCCGGTGCTGAAGGTTTTGTCGAGGGACCTCCTCCCTGATGGCCTTCTGTGGTTTTCTTTGCTGCAGGCTTTCGAACAACTGAAAGAAGACGCGTTCACAAGTTATAATTAACAAGTTACAAGTCGAAATGGAAAGACAAATATAATTGGGAGAGTGAACGTACATTTCTTTATTTTGTCAAGGACTAGAACGAAGGACTTCTGGAGTTCGTCCACAAAATCTTTTTCATCGAAGAACTCCTCAGCATAATAACTCTTCCACCAGTCTTCGAAAGATGGTGAACAGAGGAAGTTAAGTTGATAGTCGAACAGTGAAAGTACTGTTCGACCAGCATACCTGCCAATATGCTTGGTGGCAGCATCCTCAGTATAATCATTGCAAAAATAAAACATTGATTTCTCCCTAGGAAAAATGGGAGAAGGAAGTGATTGGATGATACCAAACTGTCGAGAGACCAAGTTTGGCTGATAAGCGATCAAGCTCAGGTGATTCTTGGAACTCTTAAAGCGCAGTGGCATTATTATGGGTGTGAGAAATGCTTCCCACATTATTGTGTGTTCTTCGACATGAGGGTCACCTGACGACTTGGGATGGGACCTGGTGAACCATTCTGGACCAAACTTTCGACGGGCGAAAGGAGCCATGGTCGAGGTGAATTCTTTTCTTCTTGCAAACATCAAGACGAAGTTTGCGAAAGTCTGTTGGAGTTCTAGCCCATCCTCAGTCGGAGTCAGTAAAGCCAGTCTGGTGCCTTCGATACGCCTTTTGGCTACCTCAGGAGCTTGTTCGTTTATTTGAGTTTTCTGAGGTAAGAAAGACTCAAAAGTGGCATTTAGCCATAGTTGAAGTAGCCAGAAGGGTCCTGCAAGCAACAAATTGGCTCTATTTTCGATGACCTTTAACAGAGTCGCTCCACTACTGATCGACTCATACAGGTTCGCCAGGATTAATTCGGCCAAACAAATGTTTTGACCATGGTGAAGCTGGGTAGCAAGGGTGACCATTTTCTTCGTCACCTGTAGAGACTTCGTGCAGAACACAAAGCGTGACAGCCAAAGGGCTAGAAACGCAATGTGCTCCACGTCCGTCACATTGGCTGTCGACCTGTCATGGTATTGGTTGATGTAGGTGGTATAGGTGGGTTTGGTAGCTGAAAACCCAATTTGGTCTTCCGACATTTCCTCTGGGTCGAAATAATCCCCAGTTGGTCGAAGACCGGTGATGGCAGCCACGTCGAAAAGAGTGGGTGTTAGCATTCCACAAGGCAGGTGGAAAGTGAAGTGAGTATAATCCCAGAAAAGCAAATAGGCTATCAACATCTCAGGGGAGTAGTTGAGACCAGTCTTTGACATCATGAATAGGTCATAAATCCCCAGGTTCTTTCAAATCGAAGCCTGGCTTTTTTCCATCTTCTCTAGCCAAGCGCTGTAGTCTGGTGTAAGGCTAGGGCTAGACCTAAAAGCCCAAACACCTCTATTGAAGAAACGAAGATCTATCTTCTCCTTAGCAGGATCTTCGTTGTCATCTGCAACATTTTTGGAGCACCCAACAGGTTTGAGTGCCTCAAGCACCGGGAAGAAGTTCTTGATTTTCGTGGATTCATCAATGCATGGGGATAACGGGCCAGACATGGCGAAAATCTGGTTGGAGTATCCAACCGGAATCAGTAGTTGAGAAGCATAAGCTTCACGCTCAGCAGTTCCCAGGGGTTCAGGAACCCTTCGCATGCCTGTAGAGTTAACTGTTGGAACAATTGAGAAGATCTTTGGTTTGGCAGTTCTAGAAGGAATGTTAGAACTGGGAGCATTAGAAGAACCGAAAGCCATTTTTGGGTTAGGATTGAAGGTGAGTGAAGAACAAAGTGTTTGCAGGTGTTTGCAGAGATTTTTGTGTTCAACAATAAGGCTTGGATGCAGAATGGCGTGAAAAAGTCCCACAAGGGGTATCTAGCGCTATTTATAGTGGTTGGGAAATCACAAAATTCGAGGCTATTTAATGTTGCAGATGATAGTGGGGCACGTGGCGCTCCTTCGCTGACAGCCGTTCTGCAGAAAGGAAACGGTGCAGCGTGCACCCTCGTTTTTGGGAAATTGTCATGATGATAATATGTGAAAAGACATTGGGCACGCTAAACGCCTCACTGAGGTGACGTCTTAGGTACAGGTGGAATGATGGCTTTTTCTTGGGATTATCAGTTGGTTGGTAGAAGACGAAAAGCGCACAGGTTAATCTGTGGCTAAGAATGATGGACAGGTGTCGAGTGGAATCTCAAAGAATGCATTTTTCTTTTCAGCGTCGAAATAAGGCATTCTTGGGGGGCAATTTGTTGGATCCTAAATTCGACACCATTGTTTTTATTAATATAAACCATTAATCATGAGGGAAGGTTTCGACCAGCTGATTCTGTCGAAATGCTCATCAGAAGATGGCAATGTACTTAGAGAATTTCTTCTAAGTAGGAATCTTGTTGCCTTCGACGTCGAAGGAGCTTCTCGACAAAGGCATTTAATGCTCAGAGTGGAACGGTTTGAGATTCGAATGTTTGGAGGGAAAACGGTTCCCAGCAGTTACCAAGTGCAACGTGCCAAGATCAGGAGCGTCGAATGCTGTGAGCATGCCAAGTGGAGTCATCTCGAAGCAGCGTAACTGCCCGACGGTTACTTAAGATGTGTTTAGTATAAATATTAGTTGTTCACGTAGTTTTCGCGTGTGTTCACAATTATATACAAGTCACTCATTTAGATTCAAGTACCCAGTGTGAGCGAAAGAATTGTTGAGAATGTTGTGAAACACCATTTAAATTAATCAAAGTCATTTATTTTCCAGAACTTTATTGCCTTTCATTTACTTTTCCCAGTCGAAGCCTTTATTTAAAGCTTTCTTTTATTCTACCAAGTTTTCCTTCATGCAATTTACATAAAGTGTTTTTACTTTACTGGCATTAACCATCATTAAACTTAGTCAAAACCCCAAAAATCAACCATGTCTTAGGATCAATCTGATCGATACTGCGAGTCACCAAATAAGTAACATTTTGGAGGATCAGCGGTTGTTTACCACTTTCTACGGTAAACAGTAATGTATATGAAAATATATCTCTATCAATATTTTTTCTATTAATTTAAAATCTGATTCGAAAATATATTGAATTAGAGTGCATCCTAAAACATATCTTTAAAATCTAAAAATATTATTGTACTTAGTATTCCATAAGCTGCATTAAAAAATCCCCCAAAAAAAAATCTAATCGACGAGCACAAAATAAACTGGGCTAGAATAGAACTTTTAAGCAAGGCCCACAATTGTACACGTTGCTGTCGCTAGAAACCCAAAACAGTGCCCCCATTGTTTTTTTTTCCTTCAACAAATCGGTGTTCATCGAATTTCCATTCCCATTCTTAACAGTAGGCTTCGTTTTCGCATTCCACCGCTGATAGTAACACTTTCTTTCTTGCCATCTTAGTTTCGTATTTACTGTAATCAATCGAAAACTCTAACCATTTCGATTTGCAAAATTATCACTATGCATTTCAAATCTGATCCATTAGGGTTCCTTGTTAACATCGTCTCAACTGAAACTGAACGGAATTTCTTTGTTAATTTTTGCAGAAATGGCCGCGTTCTTAGCTCGGAAATCACTTCTTGCCCTTCGCACCCGCCATATGGTAAGATTTCTATCTATTTTGTTTTTCTCTTCTCTTCTATTTGATTGTAAATTGTGATTTTCTAGGTTTAAGATTAAGAGCTTATTTTGAATATACATGGGTGTTTTGTTTGTTTATAGGGTGACGAAGAGAAACGTTTAGTTTAATATTCTCCCTATTGTTTTGCTTGCTTGTTTAGGCTATGGCAGGTCAAGGACTGCACACCCCCAAAATTATGGCATGCGATTGAGTTCACACCTCTACTCTACCAAATTAGGTCTGTCTTTTCTATATCTAATCATTCATGTTGAATAGACCATTATGGCGAGAGTTAATCCATGTAGCCGACACCATTTAGTGGGATAAAGCTTGGTTGTTGTTGTTAAGAAACACGGTGGCGCGGGGAGAAACGATGTGGTGCGGCGGAGCTGCGTTTGGACTTTGGAGAACAGCATAAACACGGTGGCGCGACGGGGAGAATGGATGTGGTGCGGCAGAGCGGCGGTTGGACTTCTTCTTCTGCGGTTACACTGTGTTTTGAACGAAATTGAAAGGAAATAAAGAGGAATGAAATTGAAATTGATAGTAACACATATATTTAATTTTAGATATCTATAAATTAATTAGTTTTATTATTTAAGTTAAATAGTTAATAATAAACTTATTTAAAATAATTAACATTATATTTAAAATTAAATATATTTGTAATTAAAATTATTTCTAAATTTTAATATTTATTGTTTGAATTAATAAAATTAAATAAAATTAACAATAAGATTTTATCTATCAAATTAAAGAAATTATTAATTAGATGTATAAATAATTAGTAAATTAGTAAATGTATCACCTAACAATCATTTTTATAATTAATATATTTTTATAATTAATATTAACAATAACTTAATTTATCAACTAATTAATAATTAATAAGTTGCCACTTTAATTAAAATAGATAGATTAAAATTTTAATAATATATGAAGAGTTAGGGTTGATTGAACAAGCTTATGACAATTCACACGAGACATTATCAAGAATTAAACGGCACCTCCTCATCCAATGGGCCTTCAAATAAGTAGAAGGCTCAGAGGGGTTGACGAGGGTTTCACTCCCTTATATCTCCAGTGTTTAGGGATTTGAAACAATGCATGAACATCGTCAACATGGTTCTGCTCAAAAGCATACAAATTGAGATTTTGCATGTTCAGTATCGTTATCCTCCCTCCAATCCTTGCCCGGGCGAAAGAATTGGTACAGTTGGTGTCAAATGCCTGAAAAACATTTAAATAGTGATAACGAATGTATTAAGTAAAACAAAAGAATTACCTCAAGGCTAACATATTCATTGCATAGAAATTAACTTTCACAAACAAACAAGTTTCTACATGCAGACAATGTTTAAACAATCAAGCAAGATACAAATGAAAATGCAATAAAGAAACCTAAGATTGTCATTGTTGAGGAGACTTGAGCTCCATCTAGACTTATTGATCTTGTCGATGCACTTTGTAGTTTTTACATTCACTTGGGCAGAGCATTGCTGGGCAAGTAGGATAACTCTTGGAAGATGAAGCTTAGATGGTTGCATTGTTTCAGCACTGCCGGTAGATTGTGAAGTTATCAATGTTGAGTTACCATTGGTTGCGATGTCGACGTCTGGAGATGGTGATAGAGTGGAGAATTGCTATGAGTTTTGTTGTTGGGATCGTATAAGTGATTGTCGAGTGTTGTTGATGTGGTTTGATGGTTGTGAATTGCGAGTAAGGGTAAGAACTTAAAAGTGTGAGTAGTTTGTGAAAAGATTGGAGACTTAGTATTTTTGAAAAATGAAAGTTCGGCAAAGGAATGTGTCCCTTGAGTTATAAGAATAATGGAGTTTCAGATATGTGTTGGGGTTGATAAATTATGTGAAAATTGATGTTAATGATATGTAATGTTGGAAAAGAGGTCGGTTGCTATCGATCTTGTCCTTAGTATCAGATTTGTTTCTGTGGCTCCGTACTGGACGTCAGCTTCAGAGTAGGTGAATTGAATAAACCCTAATTTTTAAGCACATTCATACAAATACAAATTAATCAGAATCACATAAACCCTAATTTAATTGATCACTCTAACAAACTCAAATCCATTAATCACATCGAAGTATAATTTAATTGATCACTCTAACAAACTCAGAATCAATACGCACAACAAAAACATATACCAATTGAAAATCCAATTCCAACCACATTCCTACGTCAAAGTAACAAATCCTTAAAAGTTAGGGTTTATTTTTTGCCTAATACGAGTAGGATCATTCTCTGCAAGCAATTCCTTCTCTGCATTTTATCTAGCAATTCCTTCTCTGCATAATACTCGTATTGAACCTAATCACGTCAATTGTAAAAATATGAGTATAATGTTGTCATGTCCGGATTGCGTCTCATTACCCGGTTATCAAGGACACTAACGCAGCCCTGGATACAAAGATAAGTGGCATATCATTATCATCAAATGATTAGTGTTTTATAATATCATTATCATCAACTAATTAGTGTCTCGTGTTTCTAAACATAAATAGTGATAACGGCACCGTTTTGTGGCGGAATTTGTTTTTAAAATCAAATGAATTTGTACAGGTACTCAAATGGATCCCGAAACGGTTTCCGTCGAAATCACTAGTTTTTGGATGAAATTAAACAAGTTTACTCATTGTACTTTACATCCTAGAGTAAAAGAGGAAGTGGAAAAAACTTGTTTCAAATATTTTATGAGATTCCCCGAGGGTAAAGTTAACATGCCTAACAAAATGATCGCCGCTTTACTTCGCTCTCGCCGCTTTACTTCGCTTTTATGAAAACGTCGAAAAACACTTTGTGTTTGGGATACTAAAATTGATCTTGGTCTTGAAGATGTAATCCATATCTCAGGACTTCCCATTGATGGGAAACAAGTATATTTTTTATTTTATTTTATTTCAATTATTTATATACTCTTAAGTTATTTATATACTTCTGACTTGGTGTGCAGATTTCAGGAATTGAACCAAATCCTATTGACACAATAGTAAATCATTTGTCCGTAAGTCCAGTTGAAGCTAATGATTTGTTATTGTCTGATAATAAAGGAAAAACAGAAAATACTAGCTGAATAATTATTCGAACCTAGCTGAATAAGACAGCAACATGTATCAAGTTCCTACACCAGAAAATGCTAATCATCGAAACAAACTTAGGACAACGGAGATCATGCATTAGAAGTGTATAAAAACAACAACACAAACATTGGTCTAAGCACAAACATAAGTCTAAGCACTAACAAAATTAGTAAAATATCCAAAACATGAGAAAATAAACTTTTAACCAAGTTGTCAATAGTTCTTTGGTTTTCTAAGCTTTCTTTTCTTTCTAACACGCAATACTTCTTCCGGCGAATCCGTACGCGTACAATGTTTTCGCCGGAAGATTGTACTCGCCGGAAGAAGTATTGCGTGTTAGAAAAACCAAAGAACTAGTGACAACTTGGTTAAAAGTTTATTCTCATGTTTTGAATATTTTACTAATTCTGTTTGTGCGTAGACTTATGTTTGTGCTTAGACCAATGTTTGTGTTGTTGTTTTTATACACTTCTAATGCATGATCTCCGTTGTCCTAAGTTTGTTTCGATGATTAGCATTTTCTGGTGTAAGAACTTGATACATGTTGCTGTCTTATTCAGCTAGGTTCGAATAATTATTTAGCTAGCATTTTCTGTTTTTCTTTTTATTATCCGACAATAACAAATCATTAGCTTCAACTGGACTTACGGACAAATGATTTACTATTGTGTCAAGATCCTTTGGTTCAATTCCTGAAATCTGCATACCAATTATCACAAGTATATAAATAACTTAAGTATATAAATAAAGAGTAATTCCCATTAAGTGAAATAAAATAAAATAAAAAATATACCTGTTTCCATCAATGGGAAGTGCTGTGATATACATTACATCTTCAAGACCAAGATCAATTTTAGTATCCTAAACACAAAGTGTTCTTCGACGTTTTCATAAAAGCGAAGTAAAGCGGCGATCATTTTGTTAGACATGTTAACTTTACTCTCGGAGAATCTCATAAAATATTTGAAACAAGTTTTTTCCACTTCCTCTTTTACTCTAGGATGTACAGTCCAATGAGTAAACTTGTGATATCGACGGAAACCGTTTTGGGATTCATTTGGGTACCTGTACAAATTCATTTGATTTTAAAAACAAATCACACCACAAAACGGTGCCGTTATCACTGTTTATGTTTAGAAACACGAGACACTAATTAGTTGATGATAATTATAAAACACTAATCATTTGATGATAATGATATGCCACTTATCTTTGTATCCAGGGCTGCGTTAGTGTCCTTGATAACCGGCCAATGAGATCGACAGTTTCAATACTGTGCATAAATCTAGACCCAACGCAATCCGGACATGACAACTAGTTTCAATGAATATTTTTACGATTGGCGTGATTAGGTTCAATACGAGTATTATGCAGAGAAGAAATTGCTAGATAAAATGCAGAAAAAGAATTGTTTGCAGAGAATGATTCTACTCGTACTAATTAGGCAAAAAATAAACCCTAACTTGTGTTATTTCAACAAGCATGTGAGAAAGACTCACCTTAACTATTAAGAAAGATCATTAGATTAATGATTTGGATATAAATATGGTCTTGAATAGACCATTATGGCGAGAGTTAATCCATGTAGCCGACACCATTTAGTGGGATAAAGCTTGGTTGTTGTTGTAGTATATTTTAAAGTTATGGATCAAGTACAATCACCATTACGATTTAAAGAGGCTATTCTAATAGGTCTGATACTAATAATTACGAATATACACTATTTGCAAATTGCAACACTCTCCACCAAGCTGGTGCAATGTTTAAAAATAAACAAAAACAAAAAACTCCCTGGGCTTTTAGTTGGTTGACCTGAAAATGAGAGGAGAGTGCATAGGTTCAAATACCACAATGTGCTCCACCACAGCTCCCCAAATCAGCCACCAATAAAAAGCATTTCAATAGTGTTACCATTTGTGACTGTCAATTGATATTATCACTGATCTCCATTCGCTTTTCTCCTGCATGCATTTTGTTATGTATGCTTCCTTGATGAATATCTATGTTTTTTTACACAAACTGTAGAGGACGAAGAAAGGGAAAAACTTTCAAAGGAAATGTCAAAGGATTGGAGTGCTGGTATTTATTTAGGAGCCTTTCATTTTCGATTTGATTTTCCTGTTTTATATAATGTAACTAAGTCACTGTGGATGTTTTGGATGCCAGTTTTTGAACGTAGCATCAACACACTTTTTCTCACTGAGCTTGTTCGAGGTTTAATGCTGACGCTGAAGTACTTCTTTGATAAAAATGTTACAGTAAGTTTCTTTTAGAACCGTTTGCTGGTCAGTGTTGCAGCACTTAGTTAATTTCATGGCCTCTTTATTGCAGATCAATTATCCATTTGAGAAAGGCCCTCTTAGCCCTCGTTTCCGTGGTGAGCATGCACTTAGACGATATCCAACAGGAGAGGAACGTTGCATTGCTTGCAAACTTTGTGAAGCTGTAAGGATATAGTTGTTTATCCAGTATTTTCAGTGTAACAATGATATTAGAGAGCATGCATGCTATCAAATGACACAATATTTTCCTGTTGCTTTGGTGTTTTGCATGCACTGATACTGATTGTATGTAGATGTTAACAAATGTAACTTAGAGTTGGTTAATGTAGAGACAAATAGACAGCTGTTTTTTAAAGTACTAAACATGAATACGTAACATGTCTTTAGTTGAACCAAATGTTCTAGCAATCTCTAAGAATTAGAGGTTTATGAATCTGTGACATGTCTTTAGTTATGTTCTAGCAATCCTTAAGAATTAGAAATCTGTCTAATTTTGATATCTCAAATAAGGTTGTCAAACTCTCATTGTTAGAAGTTGTAACTGGTATATGTTCCTATACAATTATAATAGCAGTTTGTTAGATATGAACTTTAAAATCTTTTCTTTATAACTAGTACTACTGCAACATTATTCCTCTAATGTAGCCACTTAGGACAAGCAAGTAGATCTAGTAAAGAGTAGTAGGGATTAGGGAGAAACAAAGCTACTAGGTGAGTGTCTCTGGATAACATTCAGTCTCAAAATATAGGCTGCAAGCCCATGTATCTACAGAAATATTGAAATCTAGTTAATACAAGTGATGTCAATTTTATATTCAATCTCTCACTTTACCGAAATTACCCTTACTAATTACAACCACAAAGACTAGTATTTCCTTTCCATGTTTTATTTCCTCTTGTCTATAATTACTTTATTGCTCACCTCCTTTCGGTAGAATCAGCTGCTTAATCATTATTATTTTGCCCAAATAATTTTTTCTTTATTAGATCTGTCCCGCACAAGCAATAACAATTGAGGCTGAGGAGCGTGAAGATGGAAGCCGCAGGACAACTCGGTGAGTTAACTACCTTGTGTGCCTTTCTTTCTCCTTCCATGCATTCCTCAATTTTGGTCAAATTTATCAAATCTTTCAGGTATGATATTGACATGACCAAGTGCATCTATTGTGGATTTTGTCAAGAGGCATGCCCAGTTGATGCCATTGTTGAAGGGCCAAACTTTGAATTTTCTACCGAGACTCACGAGGTTCCTATTCATTTCCTTTATATTGAACTATACGAGCATACTTAGTGCTTACCAGAATTGTTTATCTCTTTTTTTGGCTATTGGTTATAAGCAATTGTTTCTTTTCTTATTTGTTTATTGCTGATTATATGTTTCAACTGTTAAAGGAGCTTCTATATGACAAAGAGAAACTGCTTGAAAATGGGGATAGATGGGAAACAGAAATTGCAGAGAACCTGAGATCTGAAAGCCTTTATCGCTGATAATCCTGTTTGATCCTTGGCTGCTGCTTATTCTGTTTTATTACGCACTGATAAATAAAATGATCAGTGAAATGGTCCTTAAGATTTGTATGGACTAATGGTTGTTCGTCAAATTTTATTTTTTTGGTGGACTTTTGTTCCATATCTGGCATGTATTCAATTGTGATTTTTTTCTCTGTTGAAATCTTGAACTAACAAGTAAAATTGTAAGAATTTGACAAATAAATGTGGTATTTGGTAACCTTTCACTATAGCTTGCATAATAGAAACACCAGGGTTTCATGGTGACCTTGATATGTGCCTTTGTAAATTCTTGCAATCTTGTATGACAATTGACAGCAGACAGCCATTTTCCAAGTTATGTGATGTCAACAAGAAAGTTATTTTTCAAATTCTAAGTATTAACTGAAGTGTGAAATTATTTGCTCTTTACACGATTTCAAATAATTTACAATTTTGTAATATATGGAAGTCAACATTCTTACACATGGTTTTCTTGAAGGAATTTCTTAGTAGTTTGGGTTGGGAAACCAAAATCAATACCTAATCGTGACAACTAAAATTAGGGGTGAAAAATTGGTATGTCCCCCATTCAGGTCTGTCTAGTAAAAACATGCAAAAAAATCACGGGTACTGCACATTTTTAATCTAAATATGTAAAGAATCATGTCAGTGCCAGTGGACATATTTGGCACATTTTTAATCTAAATATGTAGAGAATCATGTCGGTGTCCGTTTTTGTAAAAGTAAAAAAAATGGGGTAGGGTGGACATATTTGACAGTGTGGGTCTAAAACTTAGGTTTTTTGTGCAAAAAAGCAAGGGTTGGATGGGTCTGTGGGTACTACACTATTTTAATCTAAAAATTCAAAAAAATATCTTAAGGGAATTTCTTAACACACCTATGCTTTTCTAATGCACCGCACGAAATTACTGAAATGTCTCTAGATTTTGGAGAAACATCTCCGTGACGCACCCAGGGTATTATAAAATACAAATTTTTTTGGGGATACATTTACGGTATCAAATTGGCATTATATTTCTGTAAAAATGCTTTACAAGATGCAACAAAAACAGAAATGAAATACACCAACTTCACAAAATTTCAACACCATTGATATAATAAAATAAGCAATACATAAGAGATTTTAACATAAATCAAACAATACACTTCAACATTCAGTTGGGGACGTTGCAACATCTTGATAATATCATTGACTGATCTCGAAATAGTCGTATCCAGCTCGATCAAAACTTTTGATTCTAAAACGGAAAAAGATTATTCACATAGTCCGTAAATTAGCGTCCGTCTTCAACTCATGGTTGTTGAACTCAAGTTTCCCTTCTTCGTTAACTGATGACAAGCGATACTCGATCTTCACGATTTTTCGATTATCACCATATAGTAGGAGCTCCTGCAATATATATTGCAGATCTTTAAGAAGGGTGTACTCGTTGACCTTAAATTCTTGGGATAGTGTATTGTCGATAAAGTGAATATTTTCAACATGCTATTTGATGTTCATGTTGTTCTTTGTGTTTTGGTATGAAACAAAACCACACGAGTGAACATATTTATAGTAGTGTGATAATATTATGGACCACATAAATTCTATTTACTGACAAAGAATGTACCAGAGATGTAATTTCAGAAACACCCTTAATTTTGTACTGGAGATGTATCTCTAGAAATTTTCCTGGTATTAAAAACTAGAAAACAAAATAGAAAAAGAAGCACATAATTGTCTTGAATGCTGGTATTTCTGAACAAACTACAACATACTTATATTCCATAGCATAATACATTAACAAAATGTCATTTACAATAAAATGAAAAATAGTTACTTAAATCATCTGAAATAATTGTCGCATGTCAAATCTATAGGTGGTACCCCCTTTGACTTTTCCTTTTTTTTCCTTTCTATTTCAGCGTTGTTCCTTTTGGTGTACTCTTACATCATTTCAATAAATTGGTCCGATCAAGTCTCAGATTGGGTTGCATAATGATTCCCCCACTCTGGTGATGTAAGTGGTATACGACATTATGGTTTCAAATACACTGAAAGAAAATGCCACAAATTTAAAACTCACCCAACACCGATGATACAATCATTGTGATTTGGTGGTGGAGCAGTGCGTAATGGGAAAAAAAGTTTATGAGAAATTATATCTTGTATGATTAATACACACTCTCTCATACGCGTTTGCTATGAGATGACACATCTCAGGGAAGCACATCCATTTTTCTCCGATGTAAATCCACTGACGCAAGGTACAAGAGCGTGATAAATCTCTTTAACTTTTTCTTTAATCCCGAGCACTAGTGTGTATCATAGACAAGTTGGTGATCCTTTTCCCCTTTACCGAGCAAACCAAAAACAACCTAAAAACCACATTTATTGTCACCCTTAATATTGACGATTTGTTCAAGGTAATTGTGCATAAAAACCGACATCTCCTCGATGAATGCTATTTTTAGTGGAGTCATTGTAGGAGGCCATTTGCTAATGTGGGATCCTTTGAAAATACTTTTATGAGATTTCAAAGTCGGTGAATCAGGAGTTTTTTTTGTCAATGTATTTAAAATATGATCGAATCTTTGTTGTTGAATTGTCACTCGGTGTAGGTTTCACCTTCTTAGGTGTTTATTTCGTTTTTACTGGTTGAAAGGGTGATTTCATGTCAATGGTCTCCAAGAATGCAATCTTTCTAAATTCCTCTTTGATGTGGAGTTTTATGTTATCAGATTTTATAAATATTTCTTGTATCTCTTTCCATTCAGTTGGGATAAATATATTCGATTTACCGTCTTTCATAACACCATCATCTTCAAAACTGAGCCTCTTCCAATGGCTGCAGACCTCGTCCATTCGTATCGGGCAATCAAGTTTCACTTTCTTAGATATGACAAAAGCACATGGAGACTATATATTTTCACAAGTGTGCAACCACATTGTTGGAATATGTCTTAAAATCTTTGTTGATAAAGAGAAAGAAAACATATTTCAAGATTGCCAAAAAAATCAAAAAGCCGAAAAATAATATGGTCTGAGCGATTTACGGATATCGGGTTCGGTCAGTTGGTTCATTGATCCATTATGTGATATGGTGGGAGAACTGACTTGAGATTTTGCGTTTATGTTTGCAAATGTTTCGGTTTAGCAAGAGTCGCCACCGACTTTTTATTTTATCCTAAGGAAAGGTCAAAAAGCACAGGAAAGACCTTTGAGATGTTTCTTGGGTTCGGAGAGTAGATTATAGAAAGGGAAGGTATTAGCACGCTTTCTATCCATGGTTATCCATGGGCTCTTAGTTACTTGTTTAGATCACTTGCTTTGCTTTTTCAATTGTTTGAAATGGTGCTTTGTGTGTGGTTTTGAAAGATGTTTTGAAAAGAGGCCATCGTTGTGGCAACCTTTGTAATGATTCTTGTTGGAATGTATACAAATGTGTTTTTGTCTTTTGAAAAGTTTTCAATGTTTGAAAGTAGGGTTTTGAAATTGTGTTGTGAAGTGTGTTTGAAGATAGCAAGGATGTTTTTGCAAGCTTTTGATCAAGTAACTAAGAGCTATCTACCCTATTTTACTCAAAGATCTTTCTTATGTTTTTAACCCTTTTAACAGTGTTGTTTCATCATTGTATTTGGTGAACAACTTTGTGTTAGGATGTTAAACGGGACAGGCGCGGGTCATCGTATAGACCATGATAGCAATTGTGTCAAGTATTTTTGGCAATTTTCTTGAGGGACTTGATCATTTTTGTTTAGGCAACTCAGATAGCGTCATCGAGGGACTATGATCTTTTGTTTTGTTTTTGTTTTGCCAAAGTACTTAACATGCATACCATGGCCCATTTTTGAAGGCAACAAGTGGATTGTAACCCTAGGGGTGCAAGTGTGCACTGTGTTTGTTTTTTCATTCATTTGTCTTTGATTAGGTCAAACTATTTGTTGGTTTTGATTTTGCATACAAACCCTAATTCTCTAATCATTGCATAATTGAAAGCATTAGGTGCGTAAAAATAAATCTAAGCTATTACAACTTTGATATAGAGAGGGGGGTACAATTTTGAATGGGGGATTATTTTGCAAGAAATTAAAACCCTAAATTATTACAACCAAATTGAATTTACAATGCATAGTATTTAAATAGGCAATATTTAAATAAACACAATAAATAAATATTAAATAATAAAAATGTATTATGCAAAAAAAAGTTTTTATGTATGCAAAGTATTTTTTAAATGTAAAGAAAAAGGGTGTAAAAAAATAAAATAAAAAAAAGGAATTGATTTTATTTAATTAGGGGGTAAACCCTAATTTTTCTTAAGAAAATGATATTATATATTATTTATATACAAAAATATATTAATATGTACAAAAATAAAAAAAAATGTTTTTTAGTATAAAATAATAATAAAAATAAAATGTACTATTTTTGTATTTTTAGTCTATGTTTTTAATAAAATAAAGTATATATGTATATATATATATATATATATATATATATATATATATATATATATATATATATATATATATATATATATATATATATATATATATATATATATATATATATATATATATATATATATATATATATATATATATATATATATATATATATATATATATATATATATATATATATATATATATATATATATATATATATATATATATATATATATATATATATATATATATATATATATATATATATATATATATATATATATATATATATATATATATATATATATATATATATATATGTATAAAATAAGATAAAATATTTACAAAAATAAAATGTATTCAAGAAAATATTTCCAATGTGAATAAAATTAAGAAATAAAAATAAAATTATTATTTACATTATTTAAATATTTAAACAAATAAGAAAAAGGTATTAGAATGTTTTTTATATTAGAAATAATTAAAATAAAATGCCAAATAAATGTAAAAAATTATAAAAATATTTTTGGAGTATTTTTTATATT